GCCTCCAGTTTCCCCTTTGTTTTGCTGCCTCCAGCTAGTGCTGTGACGTCGGCTGACCCTAGTTACCTGTGGCTGGCCTGGCCATGCGTCACTCAGAACACAACAGGCCAATCAGAAGAGAGGCTCATGAATATTAACTAGACAGACCAAAATCGACCTGTTCTCAGCAGAGCTCCTGAGAGAGGAGCGGTAAACATATATTGAGATGGTTTTTGGTACTTATACCGCAAATATATATTCTTAAGGACATCAAAACCTCAAATAAAACTCCAGAAAGGTGTACAATATGGGACCTTTAAGTATATAATGTTTAGGGTTTGTTTGTTTGTTTGTTTGTTTGTTTGTTTGTTTGTTTGTTTGTTTGTTTGTTTGTTTGTTTGTTTGTTTGTTTGTTTGTTTGTTTGTTTGTTTGTTTGTTTGTTTGTTTGTTTGTTTGTTTGTTTGTTTGTTTGTTTGTTTGTTTGTTTGTGCAAAAACCTGGATTGTTCAAATTGATATAATTATAATTTATATGGATAGTTCCTAAATTAATCTCATGAATCTTAATTTAATTAATCCCAATAAGTTAACATGTTAACATTCACAGCCCTAATTTGGACTGAAATATTATTATTATTATTAAATTGCTCAATGTTAATGTATTATTCATATAATTATAATAATAATAGTAATAATAATATTATTATTTTTAATATTATTATTATTATTTTAAAGAGGTCTAACTATGAAAACATCCTGATAATGATGCTGGTCTTAGATTCTAACTTTCACTTCAGAGTAAAATATGGTGTCATCATTAAAGAGGACGTAAGAAGAGATTTGACAGCCATTTACAGCCGTTTTTTACAAGGTGACTTAAGTGTGACAGTTGGAATGTGTGACGAGAGCTCTTTATCATGCAGGCTAATGTGAAAGACAGCACATCTCCAGGTGTTGCTGCTCTATTTGAACGTGTGCTTTAAAATAAGCCTGAAATTAACCCCTGTGGAGTGCCATGATGGGAGAGAAGTTAAAAGGCAAAGTGAAGTTGAATGTGATATAGAGAGAGGTGGAACAGATAGGAGGGTCTGAGTGAAAAGACAAGAGTGAAAGAAAGCTGCTGAAACGCATCAGATCTATTCAGAGAGGGCAAGTGAGTATATGTTGCAGGGGTTGGAGCACTGTTATTAACCTGCTGGAGCAGAAGAAAAAGTGAAAAGTGGAGCAGAACTGACATTGTGAAGCATTATATAATATGAAGGAAGGCAGATGACATCCACAGAGAAAAGAGAGTGGAAAGGCTGAACCCCAGCTTTACTTTGAAGCAGTACAGTACTACGGTACTTCGAAACAATCATTTGCAAAGGTATAAGAGAACCTATAGTAAATAAAAATGTTTAAAACTGAGAATGATGGTTGATACTTTCAGTAGTTAGTGGTCAGCCAGTAACTTACTGTTGACTATGGTTCCATTCGCCAACAGCGAATCAGAAATTTTTAAGAATCCACTCAACAGCGCTTTTACACATTTGTAAAATTGTAAACGATTTGGTACCGACGTCGGTTCTTTTGACAACCCTAGAACAGAACAGTATTGTGTTTCTGTTGTAATTACATTCACACTGCATTACATTTAACCTCCAAACCTTTAGTTGTGCAAAATGTATATTTTTATATTATATATTAAATTATCATTTAGACCATAAAAAGTTTCTGAATGTATTATTTTATAACATTTTTTAATTTTATATTATATTTTAAATAATTTTATGATGTCTATGATTATACGCTACCATTCAAAAAATGTAGGTCAATAACTTTTATTCAGTAAGGGTACATTAAATTGACAGTAAAGCCATTTATAATGTTAAAAGATATTTCTATTTCAAATAAATGCTGTTCTTTTGAAACAGTTCTTTTGATTAAGCAGCACAATTGAGCACCAAATCAGCATATTAGAATGATTTCTGAGAGATCATGTGACACTGAAGACTAGATAAATGTTATATATTTATTTATTCTTTAGGAGGCCTTGATACTTTTCAGTTTGCTTAAAGTGAATTTGGAGCATTCAGATGTCAAAATTCATGTAAACCGTTCTCAGACCTTTGAAATTAACCAAGTGTAAAAAGCCCCCTATCTCTTCCTCTCTCTTAACAGTGGGATCTCAAGATAGTCTCCTGGAAATCACCTTCCGTGCCAATGTGCCCCCAGTTCTGTGTGACCCCACCATCCCCAGACCAGAGGACGCCATCCTTCCTCCATTCAACGATGGGACACAGCTATCCCTGCCGCTGGGCAGTCCAATAGGTAGGGACCAGTGCTTGATCAAGTTTGAGTGTTTCCGCTTTCTTCCGGGACCACCCCAACAGGAGGATGGTCCTGACACGCCATCCCAAGGTGTCTCGCCCTCATCACGGGACGAGCTTCTGAGTAGCCTTGAGCTACTAAAATTCCGCGAGTCGGGAATCGCATCCGAGTACGAGTCAAACACAGATGAGAGTGATGAAAGCTGGGGACAGCAGGACGAGAGTACCCTACGTCTGCTCAATGTGCTCAACAAGCACAGCCCCTCTGACTGCTTGGAGGATGAAATTGCTGTTTAATGTGATTTTGCGCACTTAGAAAAACACTGCTTGATGCTTTGCTTAAAAGGTTCAAGTCAATCAGTGTCAATATTGTCAAACCATCTACTGCTGTTTGTACTGCTAATAATTTTGGGAGACCAAGGTGACTTTAACCCATTTTGTTTGTCACATTTTATGTCATTTATTGAAAAGCAAACAGTCCCAAAGCATAGTAAATACTCTTGTCTCCATTTTAATGTTTAGGGACACACATCAGATGTCAGAATCTTGTATCTCTAATGGAACATTCACACACTCAGTGATTTTATCAAAAAAAGGTCACCAAGTGGATACATTGTTGGTTATAATGGCCTTCCCTACTTCCGAACAGTCCAGTATATATACAGTCATGGCCAAAAGTTTTGGCAGTGACATAAATTTTGTGTTTTGCAGTTTGCTGCTTCAGTATTTGTAGATTATTTTTTCCACATGTTTCTATGGTATACTGAAAAACAATGGTAAGCATATCATAAGTTTTAAAGGCTTTTATTGGCAAAAAAATATGACTCAATATTTACAGTATTGACCCTTGTTCTTCATAACCTCTGCAATTCGCTCTGGCATGCTGGATATTAGCTTCTGGGCCAAATCCTGACTGATGGCGATCCATTCTTGCCTTATTAGTTCTCGGAGTTGAATTTGTGGGCTTCTGCTTGTCCACTCGCCTTTTGAGGACTGACCACAGGTTCTCTATGGGATTGAGATCCGGGGAGTTGCCTGGCCACGGATACAAAATTTCAATGTAATGATCTTCGAGCCACTTCTTTCTCACTACTGTGTGTGTGCACTTGGATGGGTTAAATGCAGAGCACAAATTCTGAGTATGGTACACCATACTTGGCCACACATCACTTCACTTTCACTTTCACTTTGAAGTTCTTGATGATCCGGTAAATGGTTCTTTCATGTGCAATATTCTTTGTAGCAATTTCCTTACATGTGAGGCCATTTTGATGCAAAGCGATGATGGCTGCACGTGTTTCTTTGGAGGTAACCGTTGTTAACAAGAACACAATGATTGGAATTGCTTCTTCCCTCCTTTTATAGCAATCAGTCTTTTGACTTTATTTACTTTACTAGCGCACATTGCTAGTCTTGATGTAAATAATTAATCCGTGCAAGTTAATCCACTGAAAAAAAGTGTTTGTCTTCGTAATCTTTAATCAAAATCTGAACATTTACTGCTATGAGTGAAAGACAGAGAGGAGGAGCGCAAACATAAAACCATGCTCTCTATTCAGTATTCCGTTTCAGCTGGAAATACGTCACTACACTGAAATAAAGTCGTCAGCAACTTCCGGTTCACGCAGACTTTAAGCTGCAAACTTTGTCACTGCCAAAACTTTTGGCCACGACTGTATATATGTCGTAGCCAACTGCTGTATGTGTTAACGCTCTTTTAAAGTCTTCAAGCGATTGCTGCTTATTCACAAACAAGTGGTTGTTTTTAACTGCAAGAGATACAGTACATCTATATGAAGTGAAATGTAGAACAAATTTTATACATTAGCCTGTGATAGTGTATCGATCACATCAGTTGTATTAGGCATGTTTGATAAATGAACTTTTCCACGACATTCTAATTTATTGAGATGCACCTGTATTCTCAGCCACTTAGATCACCTTTCATCAGAAGTGCTCAGAATGAAGACAATGACCCAGCTATATCTGTTTTAGCATGCACGACAGAACAGATTCTTAACTGAATGACTGTGCACTGAGAACGCTAAGCTAATTATACCCTAAGGGTAGCGAGGCATCTAAACCGGTCAGATCTTTACCAACAGGAACCCCAATTAGAGTGTCAGAGTTTTCACAAATCACATCCTTTATTTGTTAATTTCATACTCAAAAGAGCTTGTCGTGTCTGACTGCTTCACATATTAACTTTTGTACACATTTTGAGTTCTTGCGTTTAGTTTTTTTCTGTGCTTCTAAAAAGTGATATTTCGGTGTCTAAACTGTATCTCTCTGATAAACTACTCTGACTCTTTAACCTCTCTGTTTATATTTTCCAGTTTTCCCTCTCGCTTCCTCTGTTTCTCTTTGTGTGCCCAGTGTCATTTAGAGGCAGACAAGTGCACACAATTAGACTGGTAATAATAGAGTGGTAAGCAAGTCTTCCCACACACAGAGGACATCGAAAGCACTTTCTGTTGTTGGTTTAGTCTTAAACGTCGGTATTTTGCTCCATTTATGCACTAATATCTTTTTTTCTTTCGAAATTTAAGAATTTGCCATCTTTAAATCTCCTTCAGGCTTGTAAAAAATCTTCCCACAGATTCTTCGCCGCGTCTCTAATGAGGGATTCACGACCAGTCGTGTTGGCTGGCAGCAGGTCTGGAGGCCAAGACCCAGCTGTGAGCTGTGGTCTAAATCCTCCACAGGGAAACATTGTCTGAACACAAGACCAGTATTTTTTTTTTTTCCTGATTTCTCCTCCTTCAAGGACAAAGTATGTTTGTATAAGTGCTGTTTGCTAAGGCACATATTGCTACTACTATTTTACTCAAGTTAGGGATTTTGATTTCAGTTTTTATTACAGGCTTGATACCTCAAATCATGCAGCTTTTTGAGGAGAGGTGGCTGTTCCTTCTCTCGCCAATCACATGATTTTTGCAAGGTTAACGATAAAATGGGTAAAAAAAAAAAATCCATAGATTTACATTGAAGTCATATCATGGCTCCAGTAATATCAAGCATGATTCAAGTTTCGTGCATAGTTCAGTTATAGTCTTCATCTGTCTAACCATTGTGAGTAATCAAAATAGTTGAAAGATTAAATACATGTTGCCAGTGGCGAAGCGTATACATGCTGGACAAAGCTGATCTACAGTTGCATTTTCTGTCTATTAGTCCAACTTTGCAAAAACTGGTCTGGTATGATTTTCAGTCAGACTAAAACATATACATAATTTTTAGGGGGGGAAAAGCATTATTGCTTTAATCTGACCAAAACTTTTAAAAACAGTATGAAATGAAAATTAATCTATTTTATAAATGCATATTGTTGATCCTTTGAATGAATTATCCATGTATAATTTGTTTTAATTTTCTTTGACCTCATAATTTTTCATCAAAATGTCATGATTAAATTAGTGATGTGACATGTGGCCAAGTATGGTGACCCATACTCGGAATTAGTGCTCTGCATTTGTCCCATCCAAAGTGCACACACACAGCAGTGAACACACACACACCGTGAACACACACCCGGAGCAGTGGGCAGCCATTTATGCTGCAGCGCCCCGGAGAGCAGTTGGGGGTTCGGTGCCTTGCTCAAGGGCACCTCAGTCGTGGTATTGAAGGTGGGAGAGAGCGCTGTACATTCACTCCCCCCACCTACAATCCCTGCCGGTACGAGACTCGAACCCGCAACCTTGGGTTACGAGTCCGACTCTAACCATTAGGCCACGACTCTCCCCAGTTGATTAGATCTTCTGGTGAAACAAAAGTGACATATTCTAGACTGCTATAGTCTGCTTAAACTGCCCCTTTCTTTCAGTCGTCTGTTTACAACTGCGCATTCAACCAATCTGCTTCCATTTAATCAACAACCGACTGATAAAGCAAAGTCCCACCCTCCATTTCTTTTTTTTTCTTTTTTTTTTTTCAATATTCTGTTCACTTGAATGTGTCACAAGCTGAAAAAAAGATCTGTTGCTACTTCTGTTTGACTTTAAAGTGTAGGCGCATTTTTGAAATGTTGACAGTGGGCTCTTTTGATAAAAAAAAAAAAAAAGTAATTTGCTTAGAACTGCCCTAGCAACTGCATAGCAACTGCATGAAAACCAGTAAAGGAACCCTTTTACACAAGCATATTCTACTAAACTTTTACTTTTACACATTTATTTTACACAAGCATATTCTGCTAAAAAGTTTTTTATATGATACTGATGCCTGGGGAAGCACAGCTAATTATTTAAAATTAATTTTGTCATCATTGACCTTGTCCTTGAATCCTGGCCACTGTTTTTTTTTTGGTTACTTTATTTTAAGGTGTCCTTGTTACAGGGTAATTATACATTTAAGTACTGAGTAATATTAATTAACTACATGTACTTTCTATATGGTTAGGTTTAGCATTAGGGTTTGGCTTAGGGTTACTTGCATGTAATTATACATCATTAATTGTTATTATAATAGCAAGTACATGTAACGTGTGTAACAAAGACACCTTTAAATAAAGTGTTACCTTTTTTAATTATTTTCAGTAATTATTCCACACAAAACAGACTTTGGTGTCACGAATAATAAACCACCAATTATCCCAAAGACGCCGGGGTCTCCCACGCGGTCGAGGGGCCGGCCTATCCGGACAGAGACAAGGCGGATAATCCAGAAGGCAGGTAGCAGAGTATCATAAACGAGGTACAGACAGGGTCACAACAGGCAGGCAAAACAGAGAAAAACGCTCAGAAATGTAAACCGCAGTAAAACAAGACTTCGCAATGAGCTGGAAGGAACAGACTGTTTATATAGGCCAGCTGATGGGCTACAGCTGGGCTAGGTGATCAGTGCCAGATACGGGGCTGATGGGAAATGTAGTGTGAGAGTGTAAGAGTCAATATTCGGGTGAGGGAGCCCTCTGATGGTCGGAAGAGGGAATCACGGAGTTCGCCTCTGTGACAGTCACTGTGTGAATGTGTTCATTCAGTGGGAGAGTCATTCTCAGTGAATGTT